TTCCTAAGTATGTCCATCATGAAATTTATTGCCAAATGGGCTCTGAGATTGTTAATAAATGAAGCTTTACGTTGCAGAGATCCACAGCCAACCACTGGGCTGAACTCTGTGAGCCCTATTGAAGAGAGGAATGACTGTATGGGCAAGGGGGTCAGGGTCATGACGGGAACCCACAGAGATGACTGACTTGAGCTGGCAGGAGCTCACGACTCTGGACCAACACCTAAGGAGCCTGCATGGGACCAATATAGGCCCTCTGCATGTGTGTGACAGCTGTGTAGCTTATCTGTTTATAGGGCTCCTAGCAATGGAATCAGGACCTGTCCCTGGCAATTTGGCTGGCTTTTGGAATCCCATTCCCCATGCTGGATTGCCTCACCCAACCTTAATGCAGGGGGAGGAGCTTGGTCCTGCCTCAACTTGATGTGCCATGCTTTGTTGACTCCCGTGGGAGGCCTGCCCCTTTCTGAATGGAGATGGAGGTGGAGTGGATGGGACAGGGGTAGAAGGGAGGTGTGGGGAGGGAACAGGAAGAGAGAAGGGGAAACAGTGGTCAGTGTGTGAAATAAAATAAAATAAATGAAGCTTTAAATGGAGTGACTTAAAACTTTTATTATGCTGGTGAGAACACATCGTGGACAAAAGTGGGTGTGTGATATGTGCAGAATTTACCACTAAGCAGAGAGAAAAAGTCAGTGTCTTAGTCACTGAGTGTCAAGTCGTATCACTCGGTGCTCCGGATGTCTTCCAGCCCAGATTGCCTTCCCTAAGCTGTCAGAGGAACAGTTTCGGCATACGCAGAGACGAGGTCACAAGGCAATGGTGCAGTTGTGCTGGTGGCATTGTCAATCCTCAAGCTGGGTTTGCTCTCTTATTTTCTTCAACAGTTTCTCCATTATCCAGGCTCGAATTATCTATCTTCAACCTGTAAGACCACAGAGCATTAATGTTCCCAGGGAGCTTAAGTCATGTTGTCTTCAAGACATTCATTCCTAACTGCTCCCACCAAAGAAAAGAATCTGTTTCAGGATGGCAGAAAACTTGTTAGCTTAGCATCTGTAATGTAAATTATATCATTAAATTGATGTTTTCTCAGGAAGCTCTGGCCCCTAACTGAAGAGTTATAGGAAATAGATGGCTGCAGGGGGTGGGGAGGGATCATATTGCTTCCAGGATTTGACCCTGATAGACTCCCAGTGGATGACCCTAGGCACACATTGGCAGCACAGAGTGGGCTCACTGAGTGTAAAGGGAGCACACGGCATGAGAAAGAAGAGTGGTGGGTGGGGTATGGGTGGGCACAGGAGAAGTGGAAAGGGGAGAATGGGGGCATTGAATTTGGTCAAGACACTTATGTATGAAATTTGCAAACAGTAAGAAAAATTGTATGTGCTATTTGTTCTCTTAATCAGCTATTCCAGTCATCTCTGTTGGGTGGGCTACACTCCCGATTTGACAAGACAAGGCTTCCAGTGGAGAGACTAGGACAACAACCCAGCCACTAACGTGTCTGCCTACAATCTGTCCTGCCTACAAGATGTGCTGGGATAAAGATGGTACAGAAATTGTGGGAGGGGCCAACTAATGACTGGTCCAGCTGGAGACCCATGTACCCTGAAAGGGAGCTCACCACTGAGGGCCAGGACCCAGAGGCAGGATACCCCAGAGACCTAGGATAGAATCAAACATGGGGGGGTGAGTCAAACATTAGGTAGAGTTCCAGTAATCCTGGAGAACAGAGGGAGGAAAGATTGTAGGCTCCAGTGGGGTCAAGGGTGCCTCAAGAAAACCCACAGAACCAACTAACCTGGGCTCATAGGAGCGCAGAGAGACTGAAATGAAACCTGGGAGCCTGCGCAGGACTGACCTCGGCCCTCTGCACATTTGTCACAGTTGTGTAACTTGGTCTTCCTGTGGGGCTCCTAGACGAGGGAGCAGGGGCTGTCTGTGACTGTGTTGCCTGCTTTGGGGACCCATTCCTCCTACCAGATTGCCTCATTCAAACTTAATAGAAGAAGAGATTCATAATTTCACTGAAATTTGATATACCACAGCTAGAGGATATCCATGGGAGGCCTGTCCATATCTGAAAAGAAACAGAGGAGGGGTGGATGGGGGGAGAGAAGATTGGGAGAGAAACTGGGGAGAAAAGAAGGGAAATTTGGGGATGTAAAAAAAA